ATATGTACTCCTCACTATTGAAAAGGAGATTACAAAGAGCAGTTTTCTGCATTACCGCGGCTCCGCGCTGCCGCGGGGGGTGCCCGAGGCCCTGACCCCGAGCCCGGCCGCGCTGCAGGGGGACGCGGAGGCCGGGACAGCCCTGTCGGGACAGCCCTGTCGGGACAGAGCGGGGCCGAGTCGGGCTGGGGGCTCTCGGCCGCCACCTCCCCCGGCCAGGCCTGGAGACTGCGGGGCGAGCAGAGGCTGGGACCCATCGCCTTTCACCCGGTGACCGGGGATGGTGTGGGGAACAAAATCGGTTTTGGGGAATGCTCGGCCAAATCCTATCCCCGCGACCCAAATCGGGGCCAGCTCGGGGACGCGCAGCCTGCCTCAAAACTCCGCTTCTTAGCAAAAACCAGCCCTCCTTCCTCCTCACCAGCCCTCCTTCCACCAAGTCGTGGCGCGTCCATGCCCACTTTCAAAGACTTTTGTGAGGCTCTCCCAAAACGCCTCTCCCACCTCCCTCACCCCGCCGCCGGCCCTCGGAAGGCGCCGCGGCCGTGATTTTGGCGTCCTGCCTCCGCTCGGTTTCTATTTAAGGAATTTTCTAATTCAAAACCGATAATAAAATTGATTCAGGTGAGATGCGCTTAATAAAATAGTGACATAATTACAGTTTGTACATAATAATACATCTGTGGTATTGTAACCTCGGCTATGAGTTATGAAATCAGTGTATAGGCCAATTAGCTACATAGGGTTTTTTTAACTAAGACACTATAAACACTGGTTTTAAATGTCCTAATTAGTAACTTGCTCATTAATTAACTTTCTGATTAATTGTGTAGCAATCTAATTTGTAGATGAGGCACTTAAACAGTGATACCTTGTAACTCTTTCGTCCGTCTTTAAAATCCGCAATTAGGGCACAGTTTTGCGGCCGCTCGGCCTGCGGCTGGGAGGGCGCTGCCCCACCGGGTCGGGGGGTGCCGGGGGGGCACCGCTCCCAATTTGGTCCCCCCGGGCGATGCCGCAGCGCGGACACCGGCTGATCCCGCGCTCATCAGCGCACCGCAGAGCCGGGATGTCCCCAAAGGGGGCCTGGGGTCTATGTCCCGCACCCCACACCATCCGTCCCCCGTCCCCGGTCTCCCCTCGTCCCTCGCAGGCTGGTAGGGGTTTCTTGGGGGGCAGCTTCCCCCCCTTCCCCAGCCCCCATGCCCGCTGGCATCTGATCTGCCAGGGGTGATTTAATACGCCGGACCGCGGGGTAATGGCAGGAGTAGATTTAAATCACGGCCTGGCCGCTATTGTAATACCCCGTGGCGGTGCCATTAGCATCAGAAAGCCAGGCGCTGTCATGAATTGCTGTTTTCCACCAGAGCCATTGTGGCCCGGGTTTGTCTCCGGTCCCAACCTGCAAAAGCCTTTAGCCCTTATGGCAGATCATTCTCTAAGTGAATAGAGATGAAGGCAGGGATATTAAGTGACTCTATAAAACATCCCGGACACAATTGTGTGATTGATGGAGGACAAAGTGGGAACAGCAGGACACGGGATCCTGGGAGAAGCAGCCCTGTCAGTGCGAGAAACCCATCTCTGGAAACAGCTTCTCCTGGTGGAGTTTGCAGTCTATTTGTATGAGTAATCAGCTGATACCCCTCTCTGTCAGCCGTGTTTACTCACTGATTTTCTCAACAAGACAACCATTGACACTGGATGGATGGGGCTAATCTGGCGCAGAACTGGCGGCTTTGCAGAGGCTACAGGTCGAAAATAGAGCGCCGTGCCAGCTTCACCTCGCCTAATCTAGCGGCTAATATTTATTAGAGCCAATTTAGACCGCGCTCCCGCAAAGAGCAAGGAAAGGCCCGGGTGCAATTAATAACACAAGCAACAACAATCGCCAGGCACATCCCCAAATGCAGAAAGCAAAGAAAACGGGGGGAGGCAAGGGGGGGGAACGTAGGCAGCCCGCCCCCAGAAAGGGGTCCGTGAGCTTCCAAAAAACAAACGGAGAAAGGAGAGAGCCGAGAGCCCCGCGAGCCCCCCCCGCCCTCTCCCGCGGAGGGCTGCGCGCCCCGCGGAGGCAGCGCGGAGCCGGGAGGCGGCCCGGGGCCGTGCCCGTGCCCGTGTTCCTGTCCCCGTCCCTGTCCCTGTCCGTGTCCCTGCCCGCCCGGCCCCGACCCCCTCTCTCCCGAGCCGGCGGCAGCTCCTTGCTAATTGCTCGGCTCCCTTCATGCACACATCTCCACTAATTTTCCATTTCTCATTCTGCGGGTAGCTGGGAGGCGGCTCGGGGAATACGGCACCTTCTCTTAGCTACCGCATGAATACAGTTTGTGGTGTCCATCAAGTCCTCCCTGTAAAGGTGGTTTGGTAAATTAGCAGCTTCGCTGTATAATCAGGCATGCGGCACAGAGGCCAGTGAGCTCTCCCGTTTAACCAGGTGAGATTTCATCATCTAATGGGCTGGGAGGTGTGACAGAGATGCTAAGTTAGCAATTAAACTTCA